TTCTCAGAAGAAGAGCTAAAAATGGCAAAGAACAACAGGAACCAGGATACAAAGACACATGCACCTCCATGTTTATTGCAGCACTGTTCACAATAGCCAAGATTTGGAAACAAACCGGATGCCCCACTACTGATGAGTGGATCCAAAACTTGTCGTACCTATGTACAATGGAATATTACCCAGCCATTAGAAAAGACAAAATAATGGCATTTGCAGGGAAATGGATGGAACTAGAACAGATTATTTTGAGCGAAGTAATCCAAGAACAAAGAGACAAATGGCACATGGTCTACCTGATATGTGGCTGCTAAAGCCAAAATACAAGAAGATATGGCAAAGTAACAGGACTCAAGAAACAAAGGACAGCCACCCATTTTGTCATAGCTTTGCTAAATGACTCCATGTTCTAGACCATATAGATGGTAGATATAGGCACGCAACAGAGGGAAGCCAAGAGGGGGAATAGAATAAGTAGGAACAGCCTACACTAAGCTAAAGGAAAGAAATGTAAACATCCCCTGAAAAAATAACTTGTATTGTCAACGTTCATAGAAGTCACAAACTGTATAGACCATGATCATGACAATTTGCCTCATGAAAGTTAAAATGTGTTTGTGACTCTAAGTATCACTATTCCACAACACTGTGAAATATGTGACATTTATGTAACCCCCTAATCTCAATTAAAGAAAAAAAGTGAGAGAAGGCATGGGTGAAGAAAAATGGGTGACAATGTTGTCCGACACTTTGTACTCATATACTGTTTTGTAGAATGGGAACTTCTTTGTAAAACTACTTAAAAATCATTTTAAAAAGTTACAGTTAGGTAGCATTCTCCTGATGCAGCTGGTTCAGAGGCCCAGGGCGGTAGGGAAGGAGTGGACACAGACTTTTCCTGTATTGTGTACCTTTTGTGTGTTGAATGGCTCAGTTTCAGTCCTCTTTCAGCTTTAGATGCATGCTCTGCCATATTTCCCACTCACTGTGGGCAGAGCTCGGGAGCCTTGGGAAGTGCCAGATTACCACTGTCAGCCAGAGTTGCCAAGGCAAAGAGGCCCAACCAGCCCCAGAGTGCCTTTCTGGTTGTTTTACATCTGTGGGGTCACAGGACAGAGGTGACAACTTCCCTGCTGTGCACTTAGAATAGCCCTTAGAATAGGAGACAGTGGGTCCCCTGCAAAAGTCCCTTGTGGTCCATGGGCTCTAGTTTAATTGTGTAAGCACACACCCAGGAGATGGAAGACTAGCATTGAAGAGAACTATACCTCCAAAGCACACAGAGGAGTGAAGGATTTGGTGTGGTTCCAATGTTCTTATACTTTTGAATGTGACATTCTAAAGTTGATTTTGAATTCCTGAAGGCTCCATGCTCTCTACTATATCCCCCCAACCCCCGCCACTTCTCTGCACACTCATTTTTGCTGAAAGATTGTGTGAGACCATGCATTGAAATGCTGGTGATGGTATGTGTTGGGATATAGTTGCCAGCAACTGCACTCAGGAGCCAAATTCAGGAGTGAAATGGCCACTTCTAGTCCCTTATTTCCTATGGAAATGATGATGCCCTCCACCCCTGTACCTGCCGTCTCTAAACTTGGGAAGCTACATCAGGATCCCTATCCACTCTATGATTTGATTCATTGTTATGTTGTTGCTGCAATGAGCATCATTTCTGCTTTACCAGCAACCACCCCATTTCCTGTGGCTGCAGTCAACAAACCTGCTGAGGACTGTTTTTAATGTGTTACCACAAAGTGACAATTGTGACAGGCTTGCCTTGGAAGAGTTGTCATTTTTACTGCCAATATTTTTGGATGACGTTTTTATAATCTTTCACAAAGTCTGCAAATCAAGCAGGAATTGCACAACATACTCGAGAAGCGCCCTGAGTCCAGGCTGTTCGTGGGACCTGCAGGTACCCTGGGACAGATGAGCAAGCACCCTGGGAGCAGCTTGCCCACTGCTCTCCTGGCAGACTGGTGTGGCCACTGACAAAAGTTGAAAGACCTAGAGCACGAGCCATCAGGCGCATGTGGCTCACTCTTCCCTCCCTGCGGACATGGAGGCCTGTGCAGACCTCTGAGCTTCTGAACCAGCAGACTGGAATTTTCCTCTGCTACCTCTGTGTATAAAAGTCCAAAAGAAAGTAGTAAACTAAGGAGGAATCTTAATTCTAAGCTTGGGTCATGTGTACAAGAGATCTTAGCTTGTAAGAGCATAAAATAAATTTTCCAAACCTGAGTGAGTTAGTCTCACAGACATTTTTCTCCAAATACCACAATAGGAGCATGTGAGGTGCCGGATCACAAGGGTCTGAGGCACGGCCTAGGTGGCGCTATGCTCCCTTCCCACACTCTGCTCTGACTGGTGGTCAGGGCCACTCTGCAGTAAGGATCTGTGGGTGTCCTGGCCCCTCTGAGATCTTTCCTCTACCCCGGACTCCTTTATAAAGCTCGGGCAAGGATGCCAAACTCAGGCTAATCGTCTATAGACATCCTCCTGGAGCTTTGGCTCTCCCAAGGAGTTCACTACCCAGTAAAAATCCTGTCTTCCCCATTGCTTGCTCCTACAAAGTCTACCTTCTGTTCTCATTCCTTGTGTCCTGGGTTGCTCACATGAGTCCTCTCCCTAGTGTTATTCGAGATCTTCCTTTCTCTGCAGGCCAGGCACTTCCTCCTGACTCATGGTGGCCAAGTCTCTGTAGGAAGCTATTTAGGCACAGGTATCAAGCCACCTGGCTTGGGGTCAGTCCTGGGCCTCCAAGAACAAGCAAGCAGAGGTGACAGTGGAACTGGAAGTAGAGATCTCACATTGGAGCCATGATTACCCCTTGACTATTGAGCACTTGCCACCTTTGGCTCTGAATTTTCAGAAGAGAGGTTGGGAGGAGTTTTGCACCATCATTTATACATTGGTTGAGTAGAGGTAGACATTGTCTAAAAACAGTGACACTTGCCAAAACTCGCTAGAGACAAGAGTTCCTACGCTGAATGGGATAACTATATCTTGTAAAATGGATAAAGATACCATGTGCTACAGGAATTCTATGAGGAGGCCTAGCAGAAGGGTTCTTCCAAACTACATAGAACCCACTGCCCAATAATAACTCAATTCCAGCTGAAATGAGTAGAATGAGTTTTGTAAGGCATCCCTTACACAGCAGTAGATAATTGTAGGGATTGTATTTCCCCAGCCTCTCCTAAACTCTTCTCACCTGGAGTCTCCCAAAAGCCAGAAACTTTCCTTTCCTCTAACTGGAAAGCTCTTAACTCATATGGCTCTAGATCTGGTGCAGAAACCTGCCTGAGAGTGCCACCTACTGCCAGAAGAGATCACTGCAGGCTAAAATAGAAGACATCCAGGAAGTTAGGTTTATCATGATTAGTCCTTGTTCTTCTCTGGGATCTTGTGGACCTGGCAGATACCATCCCACCATTGGCAGGGGACTTGTGCTGCAGTGTGGCACCAAGAGTAACTTCATGCCAGCATGATGGTTGGAAAGCTAGTCACATGCCAAGCTTGGTTCAAGTCAAGAACCGTAATCATGCAGGTACCCTGACTCAGAAGCATCTGCAGGTTTGTGAGCAGCAGTGCCATGACCATTCCCTGTGCTAGGCCCAGTGCTCTTGATGGGGCCTGGCATGGGAAAAGGGTTGGGAACTTGGGCTAGGAAGAGGCACCACAATTGTGTGTAGGTCTTGAGCTGGCTACATATCGACATTCACTGTGCTCCTGTAAGATGAGCACCAGAGGGAGTTCCTGGTCTGCCTGCCAGTCCCAGCGGAGCCAAGCATTCTCCTTGTCACTCAAATACAACTAAAAATAAAAATGTTTACAAAACCTAGAGTAAATATCAAGTCACAAAAGCAAAACAGGTCAGAAAATTGATTTGCTATAAAAGGGCAACAGAAAACAGGGTGCCAATGGCTCATGCTTCTAAGCCTAGCTACTCAAGAGGCTGAGATCTGAGGATCTCAGTTCCAGCCCAGGCAGGAAGGTCTGTGAGACTCATATCTTTACTCAACTAGCTGGAACTAGAGCTGTGGCTCAAGGGGTAGAGTACGAGCCTTGAGTAAAAGAAAGGCTCAGGAACAGTGCTCAGGCCCTGAGTTCAAGCCCCAGAACTGACACACAAAGCCAACAGAGACCCAAAGGATAGACAAGTGTTAGTTCATTCTGATATTTATTCACATGTGGGCGGCTGATCCTTACACAGGCCCCCTGCACCCTCACATATTCCCCCAGACCCCAGGAGTGAGACCACCACAGGAGAAGGCCCATGCCCCCAGGGACAAGCCCTAGAGCAAGTAGGCTCTGGCTGCCTTCACACCCTGCTCCCCGCAGAAATAAGGTGCCCAACCTGCCACCTCCCTTTATATCACCTCCCTTCCCACTGTATGCCTGCAGGCCCTCCCCTCTCTGGCCCTGTATCTTGCTCCATAAAGTATGGGTAACCAGTGCATATAGTGTAGGGCAGAACAGGGGTCAGGAGAAGTAGGGATGGGGATATGATCTGTCAGCCTCTACTGCAGGTGCTCCCAGTCGGAGACATAGCTGGAGGTGGAGTACAGCAAGGACAGCAAGGAGAAATTGAGGCATGGCCCTATGGTCACCTGAGACACGCTTGTCCTAGCTGGGCTGGCTCTCTCAATCAGTAATTCCTAAGGAGTTTCTACAAAGTGAGAAGACCATGAGGGGTCCCCAGCACCAGTCCCCCTCATTTGTTCCTGCTAACACTGGCTCCTCTCAATCCAAGTGCCTCCTGCAGACTGTTATCAACTCCTGGAGGCAAATGCACATGAAAGGTGACTTTGCTCATAAGTCTGCCAGGAACCACGCTTGCTGTCAAACCACCCGTCCTTGCTCCTAATGGGAGCCCTTTCTGTAACTCTGGCAGGGAAGGGCACTCAGGTGAGAACAAGTTCTCTCAGGGCAAGAGTCTCCACCCCAGTCCTGCCCTGGTCAGCACCATCTGGCAGGTTGAGGTCTTTCCATCCACTCTATGCTTGTCCTGAAGACTGGATGCGGCAGCAGATGGCGATGACTATTACAAACTCCTCACTGGTCCTTCCTGTTTCGTCAGGATCCTGGTGCTTCGCCACACATGTGTTGTCCACAGGGAAAGCTCCCAGGGTGACTGAGTTCTCAGGATGGGCATTGCAGCTGGTCAGGGTCCAGCCTGCATCACAGCTCACGGTGACCTGCCAGAGTCCAGAGAGGACAAGTAAGGCCAGGTCCTGCATGCATGGTCAGGTCTCTAAGCCAGCTGCTACACTGTCCCTCCCAGCAACCCTCAGTGGGGACCAAACTGTGAACACCTGGCTTGGTTCTGCCGCTCACACCCCAAAGGGGCTGTGTCCAACGCTGCCCACCACTCCCTCAGGGTGCTTCAGCTCCAGCCTACCAGGACACTGGGGTCCAGACAGACATCTTAACAAACCAAAGCCCCTCCCACTTCCCACTTCCCTACAAGCCACCCCTCCCACAGCCTTCCCCACCCAGTGATGGCAACTCCATCCCCCCATCAGCTCCACAAGACCTTGCAACAGCCCTCCACTCCTTGTTGCAGCTCATCCCAGACCAGAGCCACCACCCTCAGGTCCCAAACTCCTCCTGCCATGGCCTCTAGAGGCTAGCTCTCAGACTCCAAGAGGCCAAGTGTGACCTGCCCTCCCTTCAGGGATCTTCCTTCTCCTCCAACCTTCCATGGTTGCTCAGCCATTCCAGCCCTGAACAACTCCCACTCGGTGGGTTAAGTGCACAGGTGTTAATGTGGGTGTGTGTGTTTGTGTGTGTGTGTGTGTGTGTGTGTGTGTAAGAGAGAGAGAGAGAAAGAGAGAGAGAGAAAGAGAGACAGTGAGAGGGAGCGAGAGAGAGAAAGAGACAGAGACAGAGAGACACAGAGAGAGACAGAGAGAGACAGAGAGAGAGCACCAATCCTGGGGTTAGAAATCTAGACTTAAGCCACAGCTCCACTTCTGGCTTCTTGAGGCTGTTAATTGGAGGTAAGAGTTTCTTAGACTTTCCTGCCTTGGCAGGCTTTGAACCCCAATCCTCAGATCTCGGCTCCCTGAGTAGCTCGACATACAGGTATGAGAACAGACTACTGGGTTGCTAAGCAGGTTCTCTAGCACTTGAGTCACAGCTCTGGCCCTTTTTTTCTATAGTTCTTTGCAATCCTCCTATTTATGCTACTTACAGAGAGCAAGAGAGAGAGAGACAGAGAGACAGAGACAGAGAGACAGACAGAGCAACAGAGAGACAGGGAGACAGAAAGACAGGGGGAGAGAGAGAGAGAGAGAGACAGAGAGAGAGAGAGAGAGAGAGAGAGAGAGCGCAAGCTGCTAGTCCAATTGTACCAGCATACGCAGCTTAATTGTTTAGACATTATTTCTTTACTTTTTGTCCAGGTGGGTCTCAAACTGAGATCCTACTTCTTCCTTAAAAGTAGCAGGTATAACAAGCACAGCATTACATTACTGTTTTGAGACTCAGCAATGCTTTTCTTGTTTCTCTGTCTCTCTGTCTCTCTCTGTTTTCTGTTTCCCTCTGTCTCTGTGTCTCTGTCTCTGTCTCTGTCTCTCTGTCTCTCTCTGTCTCTGTCCCTCTCTCTCTCTCTCTTTGTCTCTGTGTCTGTGTGTCTGTGTGTCTGTGTGTCTCTCTCTCTCTCTTTCTCTCTCTCTGCCAATCCTGGGGCTTGAATTTAGGGCCTGGGCACTGTCCTTGAGCTTCTTTTCCTCAAGACTCTACCACTTGAGCCATAGCACCACTTTTGGCTTTTTCTGTTTACTTTGTACTGAGAAAATTGAAACCAGAGCTTCGTGTGTGCGAGGCAAGCACTCTACCACTGAGCCACATTCTCAGCCCAGCACTGCATTTCTTTATGCCCTGTTTATGTGTGCTATCCTTAAAGTGGGACAGAGCACCTGGAGAGCAAACCTTACCAATCTGGACAGAAACAAAATCAAGCCACAACACTCACACACACATACACACAGCACAGGTGCATAGATCCTCCACTGTGCACTGACCACCCCAAGAGGATACAGCCCCAGCCATCTCCACCCCACCTCCCACAATCTCAACCCTTCACCTTCTCCAAGGGGCTTAAAGGCCTGTACTTCTTCGTTGTACACTGCAGGCCCGGAGCATGGCAGCAGGAAGCATGGACACTGGCCTCCTTGTGTCCCGCACACCGTCTGGGCAGATTAGTACCTCTCTTAGGTGTGGTATGTGGGAAGACACCAAGATTCTCCACCTCCCAATGGGAGCTGCAGCCTGGAACAGAAGAGGGCCAGCTCACACACTGGGATGCCGGACACGCTTTCCCTCAATCACGTACTTTATTTTTAGATCCAAACCCAGGGAAACCCAGGAGCAGCTCTGAGTAGAAGAGACATTGCCTGAGCAGCAGGACTTTTGGCTTAGCTCTGACTTGTAGGACCTTGGGAGAGCAGCTCAACTGCTCTGAGCCATAGGTTCCTGGGAGTCACATGGTCTCCTCTACACCAAAGAAGGGGAGCCCTGGGACAGGATCCCCAGGCCAGAAATGTTCAGCTACCTCTCACCACAACCCCCCTCCCACCTCAGGTCCCCTCCTCATCCATTACCAGCTAGAAGATCAGCCTGAGCTTGGATCTGTGGGCTTGGAAATCAGGGGCACCTGGCTGTAAAATTGTGGATGGCTTGATGGAATTCATCAAGGCTCAGTTTCCCTATTTGCTAAAACAGCCAGAGCAATAGCATCGACTCACAGAGTTCTTGCTTAGCTGAAGCAGGAAATGCCTGGGAAGTCCCCGTACTGCCCATGCAGGACCCGGGCTCTGCCCACATTAGGGTTATGGTAGCCAGGACCAGAGCCCCTCGCCCGGCTGCGTGGCTTTAAGAAATGAATTCAGCCACTTTACCTGCAAATGGAACTTGGCATGGGCTACCCAGTGAGTGCCTGAGGCTCTGCCACCTTTGCCAAAGGCCAGGCTTCCTGCCAGGCCAGCAGCCACATGGAGCTCTTGTCCTGGACAAGGCTCTAGCCACTTGGTTCATCTGACTGCTGTGAATCCTAATCCAGCCAGCTTTTAACCCCACCTGACCCTTACTATTCCAGAGCCTTTAGACTCCCCTGTGCTTAGCTGTCCAAGGCCAGCTCCTGACCTAGTGACTCAAAATAATTCCTAGAGCCCCTTAAGCCCCACCTGGTCCCAAGCACCTTCTGAGCATGGCTGTAGCCCAAGATCCACAGTGCCCAGCTCCTAAGTCCAGCCCTCACCCACGACGTCCAGACACTTTCCTGGGCAAGATTTGACAGAAGGTCCTTAGCCCAAAGAAAGGACTTCAGAGTGATAGCTGATAACCGTGGCCACCAGAAAGCATACTGTCCCAGGATTAGAGCTGAGCATTCACGATGAGGACACTAGGGCACAGGGCTGAGAAGGAACTTGCCAGCTACTGAGTGGCAGTTGGAATCAACCTGAGCTGTGCCCCACTTCTGACAGGCCTGAACTATGGCTCCCCACCACACAGCTGGTAAACAGCTCCCAGTGCCCAAGCCGGAGCCCATCTGCCATCCCTCTCATCGCTACCACTGAGGCAGGGGAGGAAGAGAGAGGTAAACAGAGAGAGAGGTGAACCTAACCAAGGCCACATGGCATGCAAGTTGCACATATGGCTTAGCTATGAATCCTGAGGCTCCTAAATCTGCTGCTCACACTCATGGGGACCAAGTGTGGGACAAGGCTTCTGACCAGCAGGAGGTAGAGCCTCTGACTCACCCTGGCGGGACCAGCCCCTACCTGTGAGGACTTGGTCAGGATCCGGGCAGTGGGTGTAGGTCTTCAGCCCCACCAAGGCTGGAGGAGCTGTGTGGACGCTGCAGTTGGCTCGGGGGAGCAGGCAGCATCTGGCCACCGCAGAAACCTGACTATCTCCAAATGCCAGGCAAACACGTCTGTTTCCTAGGATCTGAGAGTCCAAGAGAAGAATAGGAACTTGTTGTGAAGAGGTTTGGGGACTGGGGAATCTGGTCTGAGAGGGACCCAGTCTGCAAGTTCTGGTCCCTGAATCCTCAGCACTGGTTGGGCCCAGGCAGTCTCTGCTGCCATGTGCAGCTCAGATGAATCTTCCCAACACTGACAATGGCTTCCAAGTGGAGACAAGGTGACCTGAGACCGCAGCGCAGGGCCTGTGGGCTCCCTGACGCACCAGGCCTCTCCTGAGAAACCTCCCTAACATTGACTTCTGCACAGAAATGTTCACCCACCTCGCCTTCATGGCCCCCTACCCTTCCCAGGGCCACCTAGGGTCTGGGAACTCCATCAGCTGCTTCTGCACCTTTGAAGTTCTCAGCTCACAGAGCCTCTGTCATCCCAACCTGAGGGTCCTGGTTGTGGATGTTCTTGGTTGGCAAGGAGAAGGAAGGGGTGTGTCAGTACTGGGACTTGAACTCAGGGCCTAGGTGCTGTCCCTCAGCTTTATTATGCAAGCCTGGCACTCTACCAGCAGAGCTGCAACTCCCCTTCACACATAATTGGAGGTAAGAACCACATGACATTTCCTGACTGGGCTGGCTTTTGAACCACGATCCTCAGATCTAAGCCTCCTGAGTCATTAGAACAACAGGCATGAGAAAAAAACACCCAGCACAGAGATGGCTTTAGGCAAGGCAGAGAGCCGAAGCCACCGCTGTCCTTTCCCTCCTGTGCCCATGAGGGGGCTGTCTGTCCTGAGTCCCCCAGGAGCACCTGGCCCTGCCCAGGCCTTTGAAGTCGAGACAGGTATTGGAATCCAGAGGACAGAGGACTGGACACACAGAGTGTGCAGCTCACCCTCACACGCTCGCCCTGCCGCTTCCCACTCTGGGAGAAACTGGAGCAGCCCAGCAGCTCCTCCTCCGGGTCACAGTGAGCCTCAGCAGCGTGTGTCAGCCTGAGGCCCCTGGATTCTGACCACACAGTCCTGCAGAACAGCTGTCCACCTGCAACAAGGACAGGATAAGGAGGCTCTTGGGGAACACCAGAAGACGGCAGAAAAAGCTTCAACCCGAGGTGAGGGAGAGAAACTAAGACACCACATGAAACTTTGAGGTAAAACTATAGAGTTACAACAATGCCGTGGAGCCTGGAGTCCTATCTGAGGAGGACAGTCCTTCTGTCAACCAGGTTGGGGCCTGTCACCATCTCATGGGCCTCTCACACCCCAAGTTGGCCTCTGCCTACCCACCTGCCCTGCTCACCTGTTTCCTGGGTGCTTGGGGGCAGTGCAGCCACCAGGTTGGGGGTCTTGACTCGCTGTTCTACTGGGAACCAGGTGTCATCGATAGCATTGCTGATAGCGTAGTGGAGCAGCCTCTGCTTCAGCTCAGCCACAGTGAGGTTTGGCTGGGCAGTGAGCATCAGGGCTGCAATGCCTGATGGGGAAGGGAGAGGTCAGACAAGGTGATGGGCTGGCCTCTGACCTAGCTGGGAACTCCTTTTAGGACACAAATGCACACACATGCACACATCATGTGCTCTTCCCAAAATTAAGCCACCTGCAATGCCTTGCTTAGTGAAAGCTTGTCCTATTACCTCCAGGCCTTGGTACTGGCGATTTTGTTCACCAGGTGAGCTCCTGTTTACCCTCCAAACCCCCGCGATGCAAAGTGCACCATCACCATCAGGTCTGCCCATTTGGTCCTCCTGCGCAGAGCCTGGTATATGGAGGATCTGGCCAAAGGGGTCGCTAGAATCCTGGTGGTCAGGACAGTGGATTGGTGACTCACCAGCCACATGGGCAGCGGCCTGCGCGGTCCCACTCTTTCTTACATAACAAATGGTACAGTCTTTGTCAGCACTGACAATGCTTTTCCCAGGAGCAAAGATGTCCACACAGGATCCATAGTTGGTCCCCAGAGGTCCCTGGGTGAAAGGCTGGTCCAGGAAATTGACAGCTCCAACAGTGATGACCTGGAATGTGGCAAAGAGCTGAGGAAGAGGCTTCAGAGGCAGACTGATCGACTCCTATACTACCTGTTTAAGCCCCATGCACATGTCCCCTTCAGAGGAAAATCTGGCTCATGAGCACAGCTGATACCCTATCCTGTTCCGGGATTTCCACAGGATATAGACAGTGCTCCCCATGCTTAATGTACATAATAGGGAGACAAATACTAAACATATAATGTTGTCATCAAGAAGGCAGAGTGCTGTGGAGCAACCCCTAATCAGCCAGGCTGGGTACAGGTGGTTTTAAGTTCAGCATCTCTGTAGCCCTGTTGGGCCAGTCTCAGGGGAAGAGGGAGAGTGAAGCAGCTTCCCCACATTTCAGGGCCCAGAAATCTGGGAAGTGGGCAGGTGTCCTCCTCCTGGTATTGCCAGACAAGCCCCACACAAGGCAGGGGCTCTGCAAATGTCAATCAGGAGGGGAGGCATGACACAGGTGGAGGATTCCATGCGGGGGGCGGGGTTAATGTAGGGATGTGGTTTAAAGGAAGGGCAGGACTAGCCCCAACCCTTGTCACACTGGGGGTGGAGGCTGGGCCTCTGACAACCTGCAAGGCAGGACATGAGCAGGAAGTCCTGCTGGCACCTACCTCAGGAGACGATGCTGGAGAGTAGGCACAGGCATTGCTCTGAAAGTTGCCCGCAGCGGCCACCAGCACTGCTCCAGCCCTTGCCAGGCGCTTGCAGGCATCGTTGATGCTCTGACTGTACCCACTCACCATTGGCAGCAGCACTACCATGCGCTTGGAGGGATTGGAGACCAGCTGTTTCCAAAGAAACTCCAAGCCTGACAGAACAAAGCCAAGATGACTGTCTGGAGGGGACATACTTCCTTCCTCCAACCCCTTCCCTCCAAAACAGCAGTGATGCTCATTATTGACAACTCGATGATCCTGTGTTGTATGAAATGCATCTTAGTTCACACACACACACACATTACATGGCTAACATCTATATCCATTATTCTTTTTGTTTTAATGACTTCTGTTAAGGTATTGAGCCTTGCTCGCTATGATGGCTCAATCACATGATGGCTCAAAGGAAGTAGGAATTCTGCCTGCCCACAACCTTCTGACTCAAGACTGCAGGCATTTCTAGCCTGCCTGGCCTGGCCTGCAGATTGGAGGCTCAACCACCAGATGGCAAGAGTCAGTCCTCAGATCTTGACCACACACACACACACAAACACACACACACACACACACACACACACGAACACACACACACACGAACACACACACACATTTCCCATGTGTACACATGGGAGTCATTAATCATGACTGCAGCTGCAAACTGACCAGTCCAAGGTCTTCCCCTGCTCGCCTCTCTAGATGACTTGTTTACAAGATGCTCAAAATAACCTGTCCGTACACTTTTCCAGGACACAGGTCTTGAAGTGGAAGCTTGGTGTTCTGAGAACGAAGGCAGACTTCACGATCACTCACCACACTCTAGGCCTGGCTCCAGTGTCTCTTAGAGCATCCCACCCACAGGAACCTGAGCCTGTCCTGGCTGCCTGCTGCCAGCTGTCAACCCCATTATAAAACAGGCACAGGTACTCTGGAGGTCTCCAGGGTTCCAAGGGCAACTGGCTGCCATCCTAGGGAAATGGGGCTCCCTCACAACTATGATCTGCCTCTGGCCATCCAGCATGACCTGGAGTCCTGGGGTCTAAACCTGCCTAGGGCAGGCACCTGCAGCAAACAACCCTATATGCTTAGCTCCTGGCAACACACTAGTGTCCCTACACTGACCCCTCAACCACTCCTGGATCTGGGCCTCTGTGGCCAAGGGAGGAGTTGGAATCTTACTGCCACGTGCCTAGAGGACAGCCGCTGAGGAGGGAGGGGGAGGGGCATGGCAGTGGGGGTGGCCAGTGCAGTCACAGCTGTAGTTATTAGACCGCTGCAGTGTGCAAAGCTCTGTGCTCAGTCACACCTCATTCCAGTCACTGTGCACAGAGGAACTGCTGATTGCGGTGGAGGTGACAGCTCCTCTGTGTGAGCCCTGCTCTGGCCAGGTGATGCCATGACTGAGACTCCAAAGAGGGCTGCTCTTCCCTGGGCCAGGCCCAGCATCAAAGCCTTCCCTCCACTCATCACCTTTGGGAATCAAAGGTCAAGGCCAAGGTCAATCAGCAGAGGCATGAGGCAGGCACAGGGGTCACTGTGATGAGCCAGGGTCTCTTGATCCCTGCCTGCAATGGAACACAAAGCTGGAGCCTCTGTGAATAAGATTTGGGGCAGTGTGTAAATCTGGACTCCATGCAGTTGAGCATCGACCAGGGACCTGGGCTCTTGGGGAAGGTCAGTCAGCCTCCACCCAGTATCTTCTCTGTGAGCCAGTTTCTTCTCTGTGAGCCTGGACAAGTCGCCCTCTCTAGCTGGCTTCACTAACTGTTAATGGATGTCACCTGCCAGCCCCAGGTGTGGCGTCCAGAGCCCTTGGCTCAACCTTTGGCCACCGCAGCTCTGAGCAGAGCTCCCTCCTTGTTCCCTGTCCATGGCCACGACAGGCCTGGCTCTCAGCAGGACCTCTCAGGCCCGGGCCCCAACTCTCCTCTCCATGCAGTGGATGAAGAAACCTGGGACAGTCTGGACAAGGGGTTGCGGGTTCCTCCAACAAGTCTGCTCAGCCAAGGTGACATAAGGAGGCAAACTAAGAGAAATGAGCCCCACAATGCTTGGAGGGGAAACTGGCTTTCTTTCTGTCTCCTGGGTCTGTGGAGATCTAAGCCCACATGACAAATGACACAGAATTCTGAAAGCACAGAGCACATGGAATGGAGAAGGAGCATGGAACAGGGGTTCACTTGGGCTGGGTCTCTGCTCCCTTGAGCCCAGCACTGGCAACTTTGAAGGTTCTGCCGCTCCACTACTGGTACTCTGTGGCAGAGGCTACCATGCCCTCTTGGGTCTGGAGACATTGCTCCTCCCTGGCTGAAGCCCCTGCCCCCATGGCCAGATGGAAAGACAACAGAATGGGAGCTGCCACTCACCCATGACGATGCCGCTGACGGTGCCCTTCCCTTGGCAGTTGAGCACACGCAGGCTGTGTATCTTGATGTCCTTGGCCACGCCAACATTCTGGCCGCTGACCAGGGCTGCCAGGTGGGTGCCATGGCTTTCACAATTGTCCTCCTGCTCCACCAACACAAGGACCAGATGAGAAAGCCATCTACCCCATGATTTCCCAACAGACCCCGGATGGACTGCAATGCCCACCCTCCCTGCCTACAACTGAGGACTGGGGATGGACGGTGATGGCTGGGGAGGGTGGCCATGATGCTCCAGGTCTGGGGTCCTCATCTTCCTCTGGGATGGGCTGGGGAAGGATGTCTCACCTGTGTCCTGGGCGCACTGGTGCTCTGCCACTCCTCCTCAGGCACTCTCTCAAAGTTAGAGATGTTGATCCTGCCCTTAATTTCCATGTGATTAGGCTGGATGCTAGTGCCCAAGAGATACACCTCCACGGGGTTGTCCCTCTCTTCCCACAGTGACATTTGTGCGAGATGAGGAAAAGGAGAACCGGAAAGATGATGTTACAGGTGGTCATGTGTATCAATGATGGCATGCTCTGCTTACCAATTATGCACACTGTTTCAAGGACTGTACATGAACTTAATCTTCGAAAAGTCCTCCCACTACCTCCTATTGGGAATATTTTACTGACCAGGCCAGTGAGACAAGAGATGTACAAGTCGTTATGTTCAAAAGGAACTTTATAACTTGGATGGGATGGGGAGGATTGGGTGGGGGATGGGATGGGGGAAGTATGGGAAGGCATGGGAAGGGGAAACAAAGGAGGAGGCTATAATGCTTGATAAGAAATGTACTCATTATCTTGCCCATGTAATTGTAACCCCTCTGTACAGTACTTTCACAATAAAAAAAGAGATAGGAAACTGTCCAAAACCATGTAGGTGGCCAATTCGAGAGAATCAGGAAACTCCCCAATAGCATGCTGCCTGGGTCTTGTTATCAACTCAAATGGCCCAGCTCCACCTTGAGCTCTGTCATTGGCTGGGATCAGCCCAGGAGGCAGGGCCTCAGTGACCTGCTCTTACTACTGGTTCTCTTGAGGCAGGATTACAGCAGCACAAGCTCTATGGTTGTCCTTGTGACCAACTCCAACTACAGTTAGTGAAACCAGAAATTCAAGATAAAATGATCAGCCATGCCACACTCCCTCTGAAGCTTCTGAATAACAAGCTTCCATGACCTTGTCCTCTTTTTTCTGCTGGTTGCTGGCTTTCCATGATTTAGAGCCACCTCACACCAAGTTCTACCCATCTCCACAGAACCTCCTCCTCTAATCTCCATTCTCTTACAAGGTTTAGGTTTGAGAATAACAAGCAGGCTGGTCACCTGTGCTCTTGGTCTCTCTATTAATGAAGGACAGCACTGATACTCCCATCCTACATTATAGCTGACCATATGGTACTTCCCCTATCCTGTCCCAGCCCAACAGCTTCTAAATGGCCTCTTCTAGCCAAGCCCTTGAGAAGACTCTAGAAGATTGTAGCCCTGTGTCCCACTCCTCCAGGGAGTGACAAGGTCATCATGGGCATCCCTACGGGATAGGAAACAGACTGTCTACTTCAAACCTGCAGGAGTGGTGGTCACTAGTGGCCCAGAACAGATCCTTTTAGACCTATCTCGAGGCTAGAGGTGTTAGCTCAGTGGTAACCTCATAAATGTGAGGCCCTGGATTCCAATTCCAGTACCACCACCAGACCTTATCTGGATAAGAGGTCTTTCCAGTCAAAGATCATCCAAGATGAACCACTGGTGCTAAATTCAATTCAAAGTGGACTCACACAAGAAGGAAGGGAAGGCTCGGCATAGTGGCTCACATCAATAATACCTGCTATCTGTGAGTCAGAGACCAGTGCATCAAGGTACAAGGCCACCCCAGGCAAACAGTTCACAAGACCTCATCTCAACCGATAGCTAGCAGTTACTCAGCAACCAAACCAAGGAGGATTGTGGCATAAGTCTCATATTTCTCGCCTAAACATGAGAACTTATCTGAAAATAACTACTATGTAAATGGCTCAACTGGTAAGGACCTGTCTCCCAAACAGGAGGCCCTGAGTGTACACTCAAAGACGGTAAAGGAGGAAAAAAATGAATAAAGTTGAGCATCAGTGTCTCAAGCCTCTTATCTATTTGGGAAGGTGAGATCTAGGACATTAAAGGTGTGAAGCCAGCCTGGGCAGAGAAATCCTCTAGACTCCATCTCCAATTATCTAGCAAAGTCGTTTCCAAGCATCTGTGTCAGGCTTGTCTAACACTGAAGGGTCCAGTCAGAACCTCTGATCCTCTCCCAAGCAGGTGCCCTTACTGCCTTCCCCAGCTCAATGTCACTGGGACGCCACACCCACCCCCCATACAGTTATTTTCCTGGTCTCCTCCTCTGCCTCTCTCTGCACAGGCCGAAGGAAATGTGGGCAGAGAGGCTTGGAGGCCGGGGGAGACCAGAGACTAGATGGGGGAAGCTCTGGAGATCTGGTCTTATTTTGAGGACTGAAAGCTATAGAGATTAGAGACTGTAAGTCACAGTCAATCCAGCCTCCTCCTCTGGCAAGAGTGGCCTGCAGGAGAGAAGATGAGAGAAGGAATTATGAAGGTGGTTATTCAGGCACCAGTGGCTCAGGCCTGTAATCCTAGCTACTCAGGAAGCTGAGATCTGAGGGTGGCAGTGCAAAACCTACCCTACAGAAAAGTCTGTGAGGTTGTTATCTCTAATTAACCACCAAAAAGTTGGAAGTAGAGGTGTGACTCACGTGGTAGAGCACTACTTTTGAGCTGAAAAAAAATGAAGGGACATCACCCAGGCCCTGAGTTCAAGGCCCCAAATTTTACAAAATTCAGGTACAATAAGAATCTTGTGCACTGAGTACCAGCAGGGGGCGCAGTCCCAAGGGGGTGAGGAGAGGACAGAGAGAAAACAGGCAGGGGGCCAGGTGCCAGGACAGGGAGGAGATGTGGGCCATGGCAGCTGTGGTCTTACTGCTGTGGTTGAAGCTATGAGACTGGTTCCACTCAGGAGAAATCCGCCGCAGGTTCCACAGGATGCTCTGAATGTGGTTCCGGTGACGGAAAATCAGATGCGGGGTCCACAGGAGGCTCTGTGCAAAGGCAAAGGAATCCTCCTCGATGAACTTCACCCGCCTCAGACTCAGGACCTGCGGATGCCAAGGACACAGGATCTCAATTTCATGAGTCACTTAGCCAGCAGCACCCAGCACTTGCCTCACCTGATCCCACCAGTGCCCCCAGCATGGCCACCCACAGTCCCCCTCCCATTGACCTGAAGACAAACCAGGGTCCTCACTGCTCTCCTAAGCTTGGGAGTGGAGGAAGCTGGGACCAGTGCCCCCACAAGTGGTAGCTGAGCCCACGTGAGTGGCAGGAGGGATTCAGCTTCCACATCTCATCAGGGAGCCAGGCAGTGCCAGTTCTAGGCAGGCTGGACAGTGCGGGAAGTCCCTTGGGCCTGGACTCCATGTGCACATCAGGATGTCAGCACTGGCCATCCTGGGTGTCACTCCCTTCCTCTGTATTTCCTTCTTTAGACCACAGTGTTATGAACCCTAATGGTGGCAACTGGGTGCTGAGCCGATGCGGAAGGTGGGGGATATGGGAGAGGGTAGAGACACCAGCAGGAATTGAGGGCATAGTGTGAGTGTGTGTGTGTGTGTGTGTGTGTGTGTGTGTGTGTGTGTTCATCCCTCTCCATGCTCTGGAGCATACCCCACTTGCACACCCTCCTGGGCTCTCCCTGACCTTTCTCTCACCTTAGCTGCGGGCACAGGCTGCAATGCACCAACACAAAGACAATGGCCAGGTGAGCCAGAAGCTGGGGGTCCAGCTCTACCCTCTGAGGCCATGTGGTCCCTCTGCACTGAGATCCCTCCTGCTTTGATGAGGGTGAATGGACAAAGTACTATTAGGGTAATTGGCCAGGTTAACAAAGAAGCTGCCTGAGGAGGCTGGCATCACCTGCATCACTGAACTAGAGATGCACCAGTACTCAATAAGTGTCTGCAGTCTCCTGAGTGTCCACCAGAGGGTGAGTGCAGGCCTTTCCCCAGCAGAGGGAAGTGCATGCCTGAGCAGGGACTCACCATATCCAGTGCGCTCACTTTGTCAGATTTCATCAGGATGCCAGGAAAGAGGTCTTTGAAGACGTGCAGCACTTCGAACATGAAGCCCCGCCTGGCAGCTTTGCTCTGAAGGTATTGGACAATACTCTCCATCTTCTGTCTCTCAGATTCTGTGAACACTACCAGGTAGGTGTTGGGCACCTTCCAGTCAATCTGGCCCCAAGGGAGGAAAAGGAGCATGAGGACATCAAAAGAAAGACCTCGTCCCTGTCTAAAGATCAACTTAGAGCCAAAGAGATCCAGGGCATAGAGAGACTACAGATGCCAGCTGACTCGGTGAGGCTTAAACCTCCCCACAACACACACAGTGACATCACCCACAAACAGATCCACACACTTCTAAACAAGGCATCCATTTCCTAGGGAAACTGTAGGTCACCCTCACCAACAGGGCCCTGGGGGAACACACAGATGTGCTCTCCAAGCCCTAGACAGATCTGGTCACCCCTGCAGCTTTGTCTAAAAGCCATCGCTTCTACTCAGCCTAGTGTCCCAACCTCCTTCCCAGTCTAACACATCTCCATTTCTCCCCACCAGAAGCAGCCCAAGAAGCCTCACACACTTCAGAGCCAGGAAAATATGGATCTGAGCCCTACCACGCCCAACAGTTATTGGCCAAGAGCAAGCCACTTAACCATCCTGTGCCTCAGAGTCTCTGTATTCCAGAGACTGCACTACCCACATCACACCAAGTCCAGGGAATCAGAGCAAGGCCGCTTCCACAGGGAGAGAAGAGGCTTTGTGGGCCGTGGTTTCTCATTACTGTAATGGAAGGATAGGTTGAAAATGATTTTCTACTTGTAAAACACAAAGAAGTCTTCATTCTGGGCCAGTGTGGCCTCTCTATGAGTGAAGGGACTGCTGTGTACCGTCCATATGGTACCTGCTCTACCCTGTCCCAGTCCAACAGCTCCTAATGGGCCCCATCTCAGCCAATAGGTAAACATGGTAGTGGGCACCTACCATCCCAGCTCCATTGACCTTAAAGGAAAAATAGCCAGAACAAGATAGAGGCAGTAGATTGGATCCAAGCACATTGTATGCATGTATGTAAGTACCACAATGAAACCCCTTTAGACAACTCATGTGTGCTAATAAGACATTGAGAGCACTAAGGGGCTGGAGGGATGCTCAAGTGGTGGATGCCTGCCTAGCAAGGACGATGCCCCCAGTTCCAATCCCAACACATTTCACACATGCACTCTAAATTTGACTCCACCAGAATGCTCATGCGATGAACATGTGGACCTGAGGAACTTCCTGGAACAAACTCCCACCAGGGATGAACACCCTCTGCTACCTGGTCCCGGTGGCTGTCCAGCCTCTGCTCC